GAAACTAAAAAAGAAAAGAAAATACGTACGGTATGACAGATCTGCGTCGTCACTGTATTTTACTAAGTTTTTATTGTGATTTTATGTTGTACGTTCAGCTACGTCACTCTGCTTACACTAGACTCATGTGCTTATATATTACGCACGCTGTACGTCAGCCACATGCTACATATAACAAAATGACTCATGAAATATTTCAACTAAAATAAACAAAATAATAACAAATACTAAATACAAACTAAAAGTAAACCCTCTCACCTACTCCACCCCTTCCTCCCTCCCCCTCGCTCTCACACTCACCATCCCTCCTCCCCCGCACCCCCCCCCCCCCCCTATGGAGGGCCAACCTTCACACGAAACCAATTCTTGGCATCTTGCTCCTTACATTTTATTTGTCGTAGGGGGCAAAACCTGGGGCGGTGGCTGAGGTCGATGAGGTCTCCCTGGGCCTCGCCAGGCCGGTGGCCTTTGCTGCTAGCGGCGGGGGCGGGGAGTGTGTGCATTGCTGAGGGATGTGAATGGCGAGCCTTGGCGAGAGAAGCTTCCACGGCTTGAGAACCCAAGTCCCCTCAGCCGTGCCAGGGCTGTGGCGAAGGTGGAACGGGGACCCGCGGGGCCGTGACGACGGACTCCCCTGGGCTGGGGCGCAGTGGGTTAAGTGCTGGGGCCCCTGCACCCACGTACGAGCCATGGTTGCGGCCATCTGGGGAGTGAAACCAGCAGATGGAAGACCTCTCTCTCCTCTCTCTCTCTCTCCTCTCTCTGTGTAACTCTGCCTGTATCTCTGCACAATCAGAGCAAACTCCATAAATCTATTTTCTCCCAGGACAAAAGGGCCCAGTCCCTCGTACCAGAAAAGGAGGAAGCAACCAAATAGCGACACTCTGGGCCCTTCCTCCAGGCAGGACACCTGGCATTCTAGTCCTTGGCTTGCAGCTTCCAGCCAAGTGGAACTTCTCAAGTTTCAGTTTCTTTATCTCTGAAGTGACGGGGCTGGCCCAGATGGCTTTTGGGACGCCCCCCCACCAGTCTGGGGACCTCTAAACGGTTAGCTCAAAGTTGGAGGAGAGGCCCCATCCGGCCCCCAGTGGCTCCCAGCTGCAGAGAGCCTGAGACTGAGAACAGCCACGGCGCTGTCCCCACAGCCCATCCCCTGAGCAAGGTTGGGCAGAGCCGGAGCAGACACTGAGCGAGGCACTGCCACAGCCCCTTTCTTCCAGGGCCCGCGCACTCCGGGGTCGCAGCCTCTGAGCTGCGGTTCGCCTGAGCAGGGAGAGACACAGGAGGCTGTGCGGCTCGCGTCGGCTACATTTGGAGAAAGAGTGATAGAAAGAGAGGGTAGGGAGAGAAGCTTACGGGCCGTGCCTTGCCCAGGCTCCAGAATTCCTGGCTGCAGCTGTCTTGGTGCAATGCAGGGCTGCCATGTTTTCGCAAACAGCACTGAAATGTGAACTTTGCACAGACCAAACACAACGTGGCATCGGCATGCCGCAAGGGCCCTTCCACATGTCTCTCCTTTGGGTGGGGTCCACTGGCAGAGTAGTAGGACCCTCCGTGTGCCTCTGCACACCGCCCCCCGCCCCCACAGACTGAGGAGCTGCTGGTGCTCGCCGCTCAAAGGCGTGGAATGAACAAACCACGATTCTCAGCGGATCTGACCCATCGCGCCCGTCCAGACGTTGGCTGGCTGCTACCCACGCAGAGGCCCTGCTCCCAAGCCCTTACTGGGCGGAGTTCCAGAGAGTTCTCCAGGCGTCACTGTGGTTAGACCTCCCCCGCCCCCCACCCCCACGCCCCACTTGGGAGGTGCCCACCCAGTGCAGAGTAGTCAGTGCTCAGAGCAAGCAGGGGCGATGGCCTGGGGACACGGAGCAAGCGCATGAGGTCACCGAGCAGGGACAGGACGTCCTCTCTGCTCTCGCCTTTCTGCTGAGCGCTTATCCGTGGAACTGGTGGACGGTCACTCAGATGGACCCACACCGTGCGCGGTGACTGAGAAAACCTCTACAGACCACACGGTGACACGGGCACACGTGGGTGGGCTCCAGGGCTCTGCAGAGGCCCACACCGTGCGCGGTGACTGAGAAAACCTCTACAGACCACACGGTGACACGGGCACACGTGGGTGGGCTCCAGGGCTCTGCAGAGGCCAATCCAAAGGCAGCATCCTGTTGCCTCTCAAGCTCCACTGATACCCAAGGGATATGGGGCGGGGTGCCAACGCTGGGTTTGTGGGTTCAGAAGCTGTCACCCGGGGCCAGCGTTGTGGAGCAGCAGGTTAAGCTACCGCCTGTAGTCCCAGCAACCCTGGGGTGCTAGCTCAAGTCCTAGCTCCCCTCTAATGCGCTTGGGAAAGCAGCGGAAGATGGCCCAAGGGCTTGGACCCCTGCACCCACGTGGGAGACCTGGCCGGAGTTCTAGGCTCCTGGCTCTGGCCTGGCCCAGCCCTGGCCATTACAGCTATCTGTGGAGTCTCTTCATCCCTCGGTTACTTTGGCTTTGAAATAAATACATCTCTCTCTCTCTCTCTCTCTCTCTCAAACAAGGCTGTCAGCAGGCGAAGTGGCAGGGCTTGAAGATGACAACTGTAGGCCCAAGGACCTGGGGCACAGGCACGTGAGGCTTGCTCAGAGCACGCTCCGGTGAGAATTCCCACGTGGCCACAAAGTGGCCTTCACGGGAGCAGCAGGCAGTCCCGGTTCCAGATGGTGTGGGGCAGTAAGTGAGCTCCCTGACCCAGTCACCTCTGGGGACACTCACTGGCAGCCCTAGAGACTGGCCCGCTGGCGGTAGCCAGGCTGCACCTGTAGGCAGCGCCTCAAAGACACTGCACAGGCACAATGGGTTTCGGGGGGGTCATTCATGCCCTGATATTTTATTTTTGAGTGTTTCCAGTTACACCGTGTTCCTGTGCCGAGGTCTTTGCTTTGTCTTGGAAGGAGGTTGCGTAGATCGTCACGCGGCACGCCTGGCACCCGAAGCCCGCGACTTGCAAGTCGTCAGCGCTGACGGGCCGTTGGCTTCCCCTCCGGCCGGAGGCTCTGGCCATGGCTTACACTTGTGAGAAACAAAAATGCAAAGTGGAACTGCAGCACATCGCAGAGCTTGGACCAGAAGTGACCGGTGAGGCGCTGGAAGAGGCGGCACTGTGCGAGCTCACGGTCCCACAGCTTGAACACCACGAAGCCCAGGCAGGAGAGCACACCCAGGGCCAACCAGGCAGCCGTCGAGGTATTGCCGTGGCGCCCCTGGGTGCGCAGGGCCTGGCCCACGGCAGCCACGATGTGAGCCCCCAGTGCGACTTCGAAGCCTTGGGGGTGCAGCAGGGCAAGGCTGTAACTGAACAGGGAGACAAACTCAACAGCCAGCAACCGCCAGGGCTTCCAGCCGCTGTCCAGGGAGAGGCACCAGGCCACCGGCCATGCGAAGATGGGCAAGGTGAACCACTGGTCCAGGACCGCGGCAGGGTGTGCCTGCGTCCCAATCCGCAGCCACTGCACAGGGCCGTAGACCAGGGCCATGGCGGCGAAGGCGTCCTTTAGGTAGCGAGCCGCCGGGCTGCTGGCATCTCTCCGCAGCCAGTGCAGGCCCAAGCACACGTAGGCCAAGTTCACAAGTGAGTTGCACGGCATGCTTAGGAAGGCAGGGAGGCTGGCTACCGGCACTTCTGCGTAGTGCTCGTGGCCCACTTGCACCACGACGCCTGCAAAGACACCCATGTGGACGGCGGCCGCACACAGGCAGCTGGCCAGGGCCACGTGGCACAGGGCTCGCCTGGACTCAGGCTCCATGAGGCGCCCCCAGGGCACGCAGCTTCCCAGAGCGGGCAGCCTTCAGCCTTTGCCTGTTTCCAAACTGGAGAAGATTTGCAAAACAGCCCCGGGCCACCCGGCTGAGCCAGCGCGAAGGAGTCCCGCGGTTTCCGATGCAGATGCTGCGCCCTTGCCCCAGAGTGGCAGCGGCAGCGGAGGAAGGCAGCCGTCCCGCTGATTGGCTGGCACGAGCGGAGGAACGCTCTGCCTTTTTCCTTTGTGGTTACAAAAAGAGTGTGGTTAGAAAAAAAATCCAAAGAGCCTCCATCCTCCTCGCTCTCCGTCTCAGGATCCATCAAGAGTTTTTGTCAGAAAAACCAAGACAGTGACCCGAAGCTTCCAGAAGCTTCTATAAAGTCCCTCCTCCGTGTCTGGGTTCCCTCAAAGCCACTGCCTGCAGACACTCGCACCTCTCCTAGCCCTGCCTGCAACTCCGAATGGGTCCTCCCACGTGCAGAAGTTTAAAAATGTGCACGCTGCCAGCCCCAAAGCCCTTTGCATTATGTACCTGCTTGAAGTAGCAACAACAGGTTTGCAGTCTGACTTCTGGAACTCGAGGCCAGGTCGAGAGGCACAGGGATCCCAGCCCGAGTCCCCCAGGCCAGCTTCCCTGGTTTGCCCTCCTGCCCTCTGTCCAAGTGCTAAGCCCCAAGTCACTATTCCTCGGGCCACAGCAGCAATGAGAGAGAGAATTGAATTCCCACTGACCCTCAGCAGGTCTGGGGCTCCAAACGCACCTGGGAAAAGCAGCAGAGGATGGCCCAAGTGTCTGGGCCCCTGCACCCACGTAGGAGGTCCCAAATAAGCTCCGGGCTTCAGCCTGAGCCAGCCCTGGCCGCTGCAGCCATCTGGAGAGTGAACCAGTACATGGAAGTTCACTCTCTCCTCTGTGTAGCTTGGCCTTTCGAATAAATAAATCTTAAAGAAAAGAAAAGAAGTGTATTACTAGAGTGGGGATACGAGTTCAAGGCCAAGGTGAACAGGCAGGCACAGGGGACACAGCAGGGGCAGTCTCCAAGGCTGTGGGCACTGCCCCGCCGTGTGTGCATGTCCCGGCTCTGCCATGGCCTGCGTGGCCTTGGCAGGCTCGCCTCTAAAACGGGAATGCGCCAGGCTGCGCGTGCAGTCCTGGGGCCTCACAGGTTCCTGGAAGCTGAGGCTCCCACAGGGTGGGGTGGGCTCGGTGGGCAGGGAAGCCCTGGTCACTTTCACCTCGGGGGTGGTGGAGCCCCTTCACTTCTGCCTCTCCCACACCCCCCACTCCACCTCCTCTGTGCAGGGAGGGAGAGGCTGTGGGGCGCTGCCCTGAGCTTTCTGGCTTTGGGGGCAGGCGACAAGGAGGCACAGGAGGCCAGCAGGCTGCCCCAGGCCAGCTTTCCCTCCAGCGACCCACCCCTCAGCCAGATTCTGCATCTCAGTCTAGAGGGGCGCCTCGCCTCCGGGCCTGGGGCAGCCCCTGCCAGAGGCCTCGTGCACACAGGAGCCCCCTTCCTGTGTAGCCGCATGCCTTCAGGGAGCCGGGTCCTGCTGCTCCCCATCACATCCCTACCCCTTGGCTGCACTGGAAGCGCCCTGGGGCTCTGCGGGCCAGCTCTGCCTCCCAGCCGGCCGCAGACCCTTCTGCCCACTGCTTCTGGCCTGCCGACGCCTCCCACCTGGCTGCACTTCGCCACGCAGCGCCCGACTACAGCCAGCGTCTCTTCTCTCTTCGTCCCTGCTGTGGGACAGAGTCCACGCTGCTGACAATGACCTGTGATCAAACCAACCGCCCGACTCCCCATGGAGAGCAGGCTGCCACCTTTATGGCTTCGCTCCCTTAGCCCCTGCGCTGCCACGCCTGCACGGCTCCTCCCAGGGCAACAGCAGGGGCCCCTGGCTAGGGGTCTTTGAGGGAAGTGCCTGTGCCTGGTGTTTTCTAGGTTGAACACGTGTTCCTTGCTGCCGCTGCTTCCTGGGGCTGCAGTTCCACCAGGAGCCTCGGGTACCTCTGGGCAAAGCCAAAGTGGCGGCTTTGTCCTGTAGCCCGCGTGACAACCACTTGCTGTGCTCCCACGGCCCTGAGGCGGGAGAGCGACGCTGAATTCATGCGGGTCTCCTGGAAACCACCAGCTCGGCTTCCTGATTTTAGCGGAGAGGGGCTTGGCTCGCCAGGGAAGTGAGGTCTAACTGGGCCAGGCCACACAGCGCAGCTGCTGCACAGCCGGAAGCCAGCTCCCCTTGGTGGCCAGGCCACAGGTCTGTTCGGCCAATTTCAAATGAGTGCTTCTAACTGCATAAAAGGAAACAAATATAGGAAATAAATTTCACATGGGGGCCGGTAGGTATTACAATGTTTGCAAATGTGTAGAACGCTAATACACTCGCTTCTTTCCTAACACATTGTTTCGGGATCTACTAGCAACTTAAACAACCACACTCACTGAAGGGGCTTCTTGTTACTCTAAAGCAGCTAGTGCAGTTTAGTTCCGCTAACTCCACGAAAGCTGCAGGAGCTAAAATGATCGGTCCATTTGCACTGGTGCGAAAGCCACAGTTATGGCTGATGCTCTGTGCTCTGCTGTCATTGCGGGAAACGCCAAATTTCGACTTGAGCTTAGTGGAAATAAAGGCGAACTCAAGCGGAGAAATCGTTATTTGTCCTCGGGCCATACTCCGCGCTCGCGGACCCCGGCCTCGGATCCCTGCGCTACAGCCTGCGTGTGGCCGTGAGAATGACGCTGCAGCGCCCGGGCGGCCCAGGGGCCCTGGGGCCCGGGGGCGATGCCAGTACCCATCTCTCAAGGTTGCTGTGAGAACTTACAGTATTGGCGCGAAAAGGCCAGCGATCACCATCCGGGTATTTTTCCTCTCTCGCTTTGCTAGGGGAAATTCAAATCTCGAAAAAGGGCGGACCCGAAGAGCAGCCTTGCGCCTGCGCGTAGGGCGGGGCGCGGGGCCTGGGAAGCAGGCGGGACGGGGTGACGCGGGGTGACGCGAGTGACGCAGGCCGCTCCCGCGCCCGCTCTCCCGCTCGGCCCCGGGCGCCGTCAGCCTGGCTGCCCGCCCTGCAAGCCGGCGCGGCGAGGGGGAGGGCGGCGCGGCGGCCGCTTGCCCCGGTCCGGCTCTCTCAGCGGAGGCGCGGGCGAAGGCGCTGACGCCCGGAGGCGGGGCCGGCGGGCCTGGGAGCGGGCGGCGGCTCCGCCCCTGGGCCCCGAGCGCTCGGTCGCGTCACCTCCCACTCTTACCCCGCCTCCGGCTCTCCCTGCGACGGGTCTCCAGCCGCCTCCTGCGGCTGCCCGGGTGTGCGGAGCCGGCGAACGGCTGGCTGTCTGATGTCTCTCTCCTCCCTGCCACTCTTAGCAAACTGTGCCCCTGTGCCCACTGCTAATAAAAAAGCAACTCCTTGAGCGGGCGCCCCTTCTGCGACCCGGGAGGCAGTTCCCAGGGGGGCGGAGCCGAGCGCGTCTTAGGGGGCTGGCATTTCCATCCGGGCATTCCCCAGATGCCGCCGCCGCCATCTTTGTTTTGTGCTGAAAGTCGCTATTGACGCCCGCGGACGGCCTGGCGAAGGGAAGTGGCAAGATGGCGGCTCCCAGGGCGGAGGCGTGGAGGCGCGCTCGGGGGGCGCTGTGGGGCGGGGCGCGTCCGCTTCTGACCCAAGCACCGCTCGAGCTTTAGCCGAGCGCAAAGTGGCGCCAGCCTCCCCGCCGTGAGGCAGCGCCAGGACCCTTTAAAAGGCTTGCGCCCAGAGGCGAAGCGGTGCGAGGGCGGGGGGTGGGGAACAGTGACGTTGCCCGGCTCCGCCCCCTCGCCCGACAGCCGCCGCCATGTTTAGTTGTTACTTCTTCACACAAGATGGCGGCTCCCAGGGAGGAGGCATGAGCTCCCTGCCGTTACCGCTCCTCCTGCCGTACAGTTGCCACTCCGCGGCCTAACTCTGGCTCTTTGGAGCGGCTTCTGTGGGAAGGAGTTTTGAGGAGGGAAGCGAGGATTGGACGCTGCCTTGCATTTGGTTTGGAGTGCAAGAATTGACCCAGAAGGAAGAGAATAGGGGGGAAGGGGGAGCTAGTCTCAAGATGGCGGCTCCCAGGGCGGCAGGCGCAGCCTGAGGAGCAGAGGCGGACTCAAGAGAGGTGCGAGACCTCACGAGCCGTACGGCGCGAGGCCCCGAGCAACTCCTGGGAGTTCGAACTGGTTCCATCGGCTTTCGGCGCGCCTCCATTCCTCAGGAGTGTCGAGGTGGTTTGGCGAGCGGCGGCTGCACTGAACGCTGGGCGGGGAAGCGGGACGGGTTCAAGATGGCGGCTCCCACAATTGTGGTCTGAGCGCCGGTGGGGCTGGAACGACCGCGGCGCTTGTGGCTGTTTTCCACCCGCCCCGGAAGCCGGCCAGTGCTGGGGACTTGGGGGTGTGGGAACCGGGCCGGGGCTCCGCCATTTCCGGCGGGGGAGGGCTACGACTGAGGAAGGGAGGAGAGAGAGGCGGCTCAAGATGGCGGCTCCCAGGTCTTGCCACCCGAGCTTCTAAGCGGGAGCGCCCGGGCGAATGGTCAGAGCGGCAGGACTCGGCGGCTTCCAGCTTCTCCGGGCGAGGCGCTCAACAGTTTCAGGAGGCTCTTGAGGAGACGGGGCGAGTGAGAAGAAAGGGAAGAGGCAGAGGGAAGGAGTGTAGCTAAGATGGCGGCCTCCATGGAGTCGTCCACCGCTGTGTGAAGAACCGCTCTTCAGTGAGAGCTGCCTTAGACGAAAGGGGGTGTGTGAGAGAGGAATTGAGGGGCTCCCTTCCCGCTGGTGACTTCTTCCCATCGCACCTCTTCCCGGGACTATGGCTTCGGCCGTGTCGCCCGCCAACTCGCCAGCGGTGCTCCTGCAGCCCCGCTGGAAGCGAGTGGTGGGCTGGTCGGGTCCGGTGCCCCGACCCCGCCACGGCCACCGTGCCGTGGCCATCAAGGAGCTCATCGTGGTGTTCGGCGGCGGCAATGAGGGGATCGTGGACGAACT